TGTCGGCTATGCTGAATGTGGTGTTGATGCTGGTAATACTAAGTCTGTAACATCATTAACTATAAGCACAAAAGCTTATAGTTAACCAGTTAAAAATTAACCAGTGAGAATAAAGAAAAAGACATGAGGGAATGCTGCCTGTCGTCTCCTAAAGACACAGTTGATTATGATCTGTGCTGTAAAAACAAAGCAGCAGAGCTTTACTGAGCATTTTGCTCAAACACTCAACAAAAACAGCCTGTCTGAGATGATGACACTCCAACTCTGCAATGACTATGGTATCTGGTATAAGTTCCATATACTCCATTCACAGAGATTTGACATTTGTGGCTCCACTAAGAAAAAGTTCAAATAGGCCATATTCTCTATGAGGCATGTTTAATTCAGATGTCATTACATTGAGGTTTCTAGCCAGTGATGCATAAGGTGCGAGTGTGGGTAGAGGGGAGATAAGTCATTGCAGGTTATGTTAAATGCTGCCAGCCACAGAACAATGTACGTAGTACAGAAGGGTGACAGGATGAGCAGCAGCTTGTGCTGAGAGGGAAGAGATGGATTAACAGGAGACAGAGAGTGAGAAGTGAGGGGATTATGGATGAGGGATTGGAAGAGGAGACACACGACAAGATAAAGAAGGCGGCACAGAAGAAAAGGAAAAAGGGAAGAAAGTTGAAGTGGCAGCGACCATGACGGGTTCTCTCGCTGCACGAGCCTAAAGTCATCACAGGATACTGCTGCTTCAGCTGGGAAGAGCAGACGTCACCTCTTGCTAATTTTATGCAATGGAGATGCAGTGAATAGGGAGATTAGGCGGGGTTCAAAATCCATTGCTAATTGTAATTTTTGCTGCATTTTACCAGTTGATGGAAAATTACAAACTCAAAGGTGCCATTTCCAGAGGAAAAGCCATTTCAATGTCTGGCTTGAGATTTCCAAGATTTTTTTTTTAAATTCTTTTATCCATTTTAGCCATGTTAGGTGTCAGTCAATGAACTACGTATATAGTACTATGGGTGTATTAAGAAAATGTCTCATTGATCCATTAGCACAGCTGCAGGTTCTTGTTTTGTGTTTCCCCAAACACCAGTGTGACAAACTGAGATTTGACTGTGCATGAAGCACTAACCAGCTGCAGGACCCTGACCTCTGTGACATTAACTCACAAGGATCATTCAGCTATTAGCTTTATATTTATAGAGAACAATGAATCTTTGACCTCATACTGACAAACTGAAAACAGCAAAAGAAGTGTGAGAAATTGAAATCTCACCACTGCCTTCATGAATTCTCCTTTGCTCATCAAACCCCCGTGCCCTGTGGATGGGGCACTGTCATTGCTCATTTATTCCGGTTTTTCCTTTAATTTGCCACCCGATGCATACAGTACAATCGTAAGGAACTGAATAAAACCAAGCTTGATTCGCAGTCAAAATCCCAGTTCATCCAAAGGTGTCAGATGAGGCTGAAGTCAGACGTCATCATGTTGAAAAAAGAAAATTCAAGGCTGTTGGCATTGGAGGCACTAAAATATCACCGAACGCTGCAGCACAAAGAAACCTAGCCCAGATTATATATAGTCAGCTACAAGTGCACAGATAGTTTACTTTTATTGGGAGAACCACTACAAAATCAAACCATAAACAACATATTGGTTGAAGCAATTGAAAATATTTGCTGACTCTCTAATCTTAGGCTGTTTCTCCTCATGTGTAACTGATCTCTATTTAGGTGTTTAAAATGTTTAGAATAAAAAGCGAGCACACCTGACACTCCTCTACCATTATTATCATGTCTCGTCAGCTGTCTGTGGAGCTTAGGTAGGCGCTGAACAACTACTATTTAGGTTTCTCTCTGCACCTAAATGACTGCTTAATGCTAACCAGTAATATATTCTACAGACCTCCACTTGTGCCACACTCCATGACATCATCGGTGAATGGAGTCAAAAACGCCTTTCTTATCTAGCTCAACAGGAGGAGGTTTGTTAGCCGAACCCAAATTCACAAGAAAGATGGCAATCTGTTTTATTAAAACTGCTATTTTGACTCGTCAGACACCAGATATCTTCCTGAAATAAGCCAGCCTAAGAGAAAGAAATGCTCAACCAGCCGCTGTGGTTTGATTTATTGCTCAATCTACAGTGCAGATATAGCAGAAGCTTTTCTACTATGAGATATGAGATAATCTTCCATTCAGCAAGAGATCATTATCTGATTACTGGTATTACAAAGCTGAAAAACAATGCTCTGACTTGTTGGCAGCAGAGGGAATTCCTTCATTTCGATAGCTGTCAGGAAGGAATTATTTTTGTTTTCCCCTGGCATCAGAGCCTGGCTGTTGTTTATTTTCTCTCTAGTTGTTGAGAAATATCCGGTCCCATATTCCAGCATCTCTGTCCCAGGAGTTTAGCAGGGTCTGTTATTTGGTAATACCAGCTCGAGTCTTGTAAACACTACTCTGTGTGCTGAGATCTGATTGGCTGTTGGAGGGGAAGTGAGTTAAGGGTGTGGAAAGGGATTTAGAGATCACGTGCTTGTGTCAAAACACCAACTTCCATTCTGACGTTTATGAAATCTGCATCTGTGCAGCACACAAACCACTCATTAACTCACCACACAAATTATTCTCATGCACCTCTTCTCATTTTACGTTTTTGGAATGGTGTTCTCCTTATGTTCAAACTACTCAGGGTCAAAGCTGCTTCAGAAATAATAACAGAATAAAATAACAGAACAGTGCAAATAAGACAAAAGATACATTGGTTTATCACAATTAAATCTCCTCATTTACAACACGATTATCAGTGTTAAATGTCAGACCATCTGCAGTGACGGTTTTATTGTGGAGAAATTTTACATTTTGCACAAAGCCAGAGAATGATCTCAAAATGAGGAAAGGCGCCCGATGTGAACGAGCAGAGAGGAATCAGCTACAGTATGGTGGCTCTTTCAGGGCGACTCTCTGCGCAGAAGCATCTTAAATGAAAGAACGTCTTTGTCTGAGACGGCGTGTGGGTCCTTACAGTGACAGAGAGCTTTGTCTCCTACACATCCGTATCTCGCCTCTCTGCCGAGCCTCTTTCTACCTCAACAATGAGCTAAGACACCACACTGCATTAATATTTAATAACTAGAAATGGTACAGGAAAGACTGAATAATAAGCATTGCTGTACTACTTGCTTTATGTAAATAAGATCATGTTCCTCTGCGGCTCTGTGCTTTTTGTCTCTCAGATACTTCACCGGCTCAAGGAGACATGCTAAAAGGATGTGGAAAGTGCAAGAAGCAGATGAAACTTTCATAATTCTGTAATTTGGATATGTGAGAAAGGGGGAATAATACCACCTCTTCCATTCAAGCTTCCTGCAGTTACTGAAGAAAAATGTTTTCTGTGTGTGAAAAATAAGGAAAACTTCTCAAAATTAACTTATCACACTAGATGTACCTAAAACATCTTTGCAATTCAGAAATACATCACCTGAACTTTGCAGTTTCTTTTATATTCAGAAGACTAACAAAGTGAACACAGTCAAAATTCCCTGCTGTCACCATGAATTAAGTTTAGAGATGACAATTTATAGTCTCAGTGAAAAGTAATGGCACTGTATTTACTATTTCGCTAGCTTCACTTTTATTCTGAAAATACAGTGAAGAAAAAAGACTTGTTAGACTGAGCTTATCAAATCTGGGTATGTGGAACTTGGATGGGATCCTGTAGTTATTTACAATTAACCAATTAACCATTAAATGTATCAAGTGTAAGAAAGTCACATTGCCAAATCCTCAAATTAATTTATTCAATTTGCAATTATGTAGAAATGTGAAACTCAGCAGACAGTCATATTCGAGAAGCTGGAAACAGGAATTGTTTGGCAATTTTGCTCCATAAATCATTTAAGTGATGATCAAAATTGCTCCTGGTTAATTTTTTGTTGCACGGCTGATCAAAGTAATATTTTAATCATTTGACCAGAAAGTGGAATCCAACCCTTTCCTTGTAAGACCCCTGAACCTTCCTGGAGCCACTGAGATGAAAAGCATAACTTCCCTTTAAACACACACCTACGTAGTTTACCAATACAACATTCCTATATTCATGATGGGGGAAGAAAAAAACACAAGGTCAGAGCACTCGGTGGCCATTTCATCTGCTCACTGGCATTTCCTCATTTTCCTGCTCATGCTCTTATGAGAAAACAAAAGCCCTGAGGTAAACGTAGCACAGAAGCAGGTGAGATATGTTTTCTATCTTTAAATCTTAGTAGGTGTCAAATGATCAGCATACGAACCAGTTTGGCTCCGAGGCACAACCATCACGACTTGACTGTTCAGACAGAACAGGAGAGAGCTGCTGCGATGTACTCGCACCCTGCTTTATCACAGCACAGTAACCGCCTGGTTGTCTACTGCCAGAGGTTAACACTGCATAATGTAGCAGGTTAAATCAT